AAAAAAAAAAAAGAAAAGAAGAAAATTCTAATATTATCACAATATGTAGCTTATGACTAAGTAAATTTTTGGAAAAGTTAAAAAGGAAAAAACAAAATGTAAACTATGAAATTATACACCTTCTAATTCCTATAATTAATTATAATTTAATTATGTAAACCTATCACCCCAACCTGATGAGGATTCTATGCCTGATGGCATGATACTAATAGTCGACGAGAAATCATAAATATGAACTGGAAAAATCAACCCTGATGGATTTGTCATTTTATGGCATATGTCAAACATGCGCTTAAAATTTAATCAAGAGCAAAGAGTTTCTACATAAGATTTGATCAAGGCGTTTTTATACAAGCCGTAAATAGTTGCAGAGAAGAAAATACATAGATAAGAGTTATAAACCTGGCAGCGTAAGGACTAAATAAAAGATCCTGGCCAGCAAAGGAATCTGCGAAAGGCAGTTCACATAGTCAAAAAAAAAAAAAAAAAAAAAAANGTAAAAGCAGTCTTATAAGATGTTATAAGAGTTCCTAAGTCAAACTAATAAATACCTACATACATAAATGTTAAGACCTTAAATAATAAACAAATTATTTGCCTTTAAACTTGTAACATTATTCATAGTTTTAACAAATTTATTTCTGCCAACCAAAAGTATCAAAATGGGGCATATGTGAACAAAAAATACCAAATCTTAAAATTTCGAAAAAAGTATCAAAAAAGATACAATGGTATCAAAACGGCAACGCTGTCTTTGACTGCAAAATCCAGCGGCTAGTTCGCATTTTTGCAATTGTTTAATAAATAAAGAATTTTGATAATCTTCAAAATTTTTAACTCGTGAAAAACTTTGTGGACTTCACTTCACAAAAAAACAGTTCAAGTTTATCCCAAGAAAGCAATAAGCAACCCAAATCTGCTAAAGTAATATTAAGCCCTGAACTTTATTGGGTGCTANGTTTTGATAATCTTCAAAATTTTTAACTCGTGAAAAACTTTGTGGATTTCACTTCACATAAAAACAGTCCAAGTTTATCCCAAGAAAGCAATAAAAAACCCAAATCTGCTAAAGTAATATTAAGCCCTGAACTTTATTGGGTGCTATTTTAAGTCCTTGTAATGGAGGAGTCACCAAATGTAGAAGCTGAGGAAACAATGTCTGAGGAAAAGCAGCCGGATGTTAGCAGTTCTGCGAATTCCACTAAGCAGAAGCGGGAGCGCAAGGAAAGGGGCTTCATATGCGGTGTAATTGAAGGTAAAGTTGAACGGTTTTGCATGCAACATTCGTGTATTCACGAAAATTTACCATGCATTTTTATAGGCTTTTATGGACGGCCATGGACAACGGAGCAACGTAAGGACCTATTTAGAAAGTGAGTAACCAGATAGTTTGCAAATGTCATAAATGCTAATCACCAAGTATTGTTTAGACTTAAGAAATGGGGCATGGACTCATACGTCTATGCGCCTAAGGATGATTACAAGCATCGAGCATATTGGCGCGAATTATATACAGTAGAAGAAGCTGATCATCTTACAAGTACGTACATACATATATTAAGGAACAGCTTCAGAATTTTATTTTTGATTACTACTTTTTTTCGACTTTATAAAATTTCATAATTTTCTACAGGTTTAATAACGGCAGCTAGAGAACACGATGTAATGTTTTACTATGCTCTTTCCCCTGGTTTGGATATGTCATACAGCAGCCAAAAAGAAATCCAAACCCTCAAGCGAAAACTCGATCAGGTTTCGCAATTTGGTTGTGAAGCATTTGCTTTGCTCTTCGATGATATCGACTCGGAATTGTCTAAAGTGGACAAAGAAGCGTTCCAGACATTTGCCAATGCACAAGTAAAATAGTTTTCCTAGTCTTAAACTCAAAACAGAAAAGTAATTTGTTATATTTTTTAATTAGGTCTCGGTTACAAATGAAATATATGCACATCTAGGCAACCCAAGATTTCTCTTCTGCCCCACGCAGTATTGTAGCTCACGAGCTATGCCTACAATACAAGACTCCGAGTATTTAAACACATTAGGATCCAAACTTAATCACGATATTGATATAATGTGGACTGGAAATAAAGTAATCTCTAAAATAATAAGTCTCGAATCAATTCAGGAGATAACGGAAGTATTACGTCGACCGCCAGTTATTTGGGATAACTTGCATGCTAATGATTACGACCAGAAGCGTGTTTTCCTTGGACCATATTCAGGTCGTTCGCCGGAGTTGATTCCGCACCTACGCGGAGTCATGACGAATCCCAACTGCGAGTTTCACGCTAACACCATTGCCATTCACACTTTGGCCAATTGGTCGAAATGTAGCCTTGATTCCAAAGTAAATAGTAAGTTATTAATAGAGTTTTTGTATATTCCTATAGGCGCTTTACTTATTAATGCATTTACATTCGATAAAAAGGTTCTGTTTCCGCGGATATTAAACTGGAAACCGAAAACGAAGACGGTACGACCGAAGAAGAACTGCCCGTAGACAGCTTATCAAAAAATATGTATCACCCACGTATTGCATTAAAGTAAGATACACAAAAAATATGTAGGTAGTAACATTTTATAAGAATTTGATATCATTTTTTAATTTAGAAACGCTATAGATGAGTGGCTACCTGAGTTCTTTTTAGAAAAAGAGGCTTGGGGTCCTATTACGAAGCCGCAACCACAAGTTACAAGTAAGATTACATTCCTTATAAATTTTTCTTTAATTATCATGCTATAATCTCTACGATTATTCAAATGTAGTGGTTATGCCTATTATACCAATTTTACCGTCTATAAATACTTGTATGAGCTTGACGACAACAACTACTACATCCACTAGTACCAAAACTCTTACTGTGCCAGAAGTGAACACCACTCAGCTACAAGCTTTGGCCGATGTTTGCAGCACCGTTAGTTCATCAGTTATTAATCCCATAGCCAATCCAGTAATGAATTCCTTAGTTTTACCCACAAAAGTTGTAACAAATGACGACATTGTAAATCCAATTCCTACGTGCGTGGCCTCAAATATTGAGTTGCCAAAAAAAATTCCCATATCAATCGTAGCAGTGCCAATAATGCACAGGAAAGCGGTGGAGGATATATTAACTAAAAGTACTAGGGAAGATGTCGTTAAAGAACAGTCATCTGACTCTGGAATAATATCAGCGATCACGATTTCAGCACCGGGGACAAACGAAAGTAACTCGAGAGCTTCTAATGCTCCCACAATTGTGGCAAACAACACTGTTACAGATCGTGAGGAAAATGAGGGTGAAATCGCCAAGGAGGACGAAATGACTATCGAAAAGGCAGAACAGCTGAGTACCCAGTTACCACAGCTGAAAAGGATTAATGAAAAAAAGGCAGTAGAAGTTTCGAAAAATGAAATCGGGGGTATTATCATGGAGAAAGATGTAGATTTATTGGTAAATACCAGCGCAATACCGGGAGAAAGTGTTACTACTACAGGTTCGCTTCCCATGATAGACGAACACACATTAAGCCCGCTAAGTGCAATCAGCGCCGGTGGTAATGAACCGATGGAGTGCAGCAGCAGTTTAGCTTCGCAAGCGTCAGGAAAAGAAGATCGCAAATTGGTATCTGAGGATGTGGTGATGGCTGAAGGAGTCGAAGAAGATGATGTTTGCAATGGCTCGATGAACGAATTGAATGTAAGAAACTTTATAATAATATATTGTGTTTAATAGATCAAGTATTAACACACTCACTAACCTACAGAATAGCATGCAGGTTGAAAGCTCAGAAGGGTCACCCCTCTCAAATGCCGACATGAAAGACTATGAAGAGAAGTATTTTCTAATGTAATGGTCCACACGTATTTTATTAAATTTTGTTTATTTTATCGTCTACTTAGAACTATCCCTGGAGTCGGCAGTAGTAGCCTTATCACTGTGGAGGATCTTTACTTATTGTGTGATCTATTTTATCTCCCATTTGAACATGGAAGTCGGGGTTTTAAGCTTCTAAACGAGTTTAACTGGTTAAAAGCTAACGCAGGCGTTTTGTTAGGAAATGGCAAAGGCATTCGGAAATGTTCAAACGCTGATGGAGCGATGTCGCCCAAACCGGAAGTAGCAGAATGGATGCAGAGGGCGGAAGCGTTCTCTAACCACTGTAACGCAGTCCACGAGCTACTAAAAAAAATCGCCAATTGCGCCAATAAAGAGATATGCCACGATTTGTTTTCTTATGTATGGGACATTGCAGGAACTTTAACTCTCCTAAATGCGTTTGTAAAATGGTTAAGTCTGGGCCATTTCCCGTCTAACGTGCAAACATATACCCAGGGTACATACACATGTAAGCATAGCTCGGATAGAAAAGGGACGTCACATTATTTGTATGTGGTGTACTTTACGAAAACTATTTACAGGGTTCAGTAAGGGTTGGAAGGAGGCATTCATGTCTGGCGATCAAGAGCCATGGGTATTTCGAGGAGGGCTTATTGCCGATTTACAGGTAAAAAATTATATAAAATGATATTAAAAAATTTACTTTTACTTCTCTTTTATTTTCCTTGTGAAGCGTCTGATGCCAGTGGATTCGGGTAACGATTTGTTTCTCTATAAACTGCCTGAATTGCCGACAAGTGATTATCACTTGCTGCGTCCGTACACGCCAATCGACGAAGCTGAGTTGGGACAGGTGTGTACAAGAGCCTTTCTGCAGGTCATGTTACAACAAAGTGATGAAAAAACTGACGAATACGACAACATCCTCGAGACATTGTTACCCAGTCATTTGCGCGAACTTATAGCCGACAACATTGTTGGACATTTTGTGACTCTTAATCCTCATTTATGTATTGTAGCTCATGACGCTTCTAATGCCATTGTTGGATATGCAGCTGCTGCCTTGAATGCAAACACTTTTATGCGGAATGTTGAAGTCTGTTGGATACCTTCAATGAGGGAAAAGTACGCACCGTCTTTATTGGAAAAAGATAACTTCATCGATATTGCAAATGGCACAGATAGCGAAAAAAGGCGTGAATCTTCCGGACTTAACGTCCTCATGATTGAGATGATACGAGATTTTCACAAGTACGAATATGATTACCAGTGTCCGACCGAGGTAAGCAGTGCATATCCAGCTGTAATGACAGCCGCCGCCTTAAAAGATGCTCTGTCCCGCGATCAGGGACTTTTAAAGCGTCTGATAACAGTGACATTAGCTACATTACGTTCCAATGGCTGCTTCGGCGTGCATGTTCGCCTAACAGTAAAAGGCTCAGAAAACTTACAGCAGCATTATTCAAAGATAGGATTTACGAAAGTATATCATGACGGTGAGAACAAATATATCTATCTTGGGCGCCGCTTTTAGCAACCGTCATATCAGGCACCGATCACTATTTTAAAAAAGTTGCGCCGCCTGTCGTCGAACAGTATAGAAGATTGATCATAAAGTATGCATACCGACACCCTCTCATCTTTATTTTCCTTTTTCTAATTTATGTATAAGAATACTTAGCATCTATGAAAACTTCAGGAACATTATATAAGCCGTTTATTTTGAAAGGCATAAGTCACATCACAACTCGTGCTTATATAACAAGTCGGTTATTCGTTCAACTTCATCACCCAAAGGTAGAAGGTTTTGTCGTTACCATAGACTGATTTACAGATGCTTTCGGTTTCAATAGCCGGTCATTTAAGTGCAAGAGTTACGAAGCGACTTATGCCACTTTCAAAAACTTTATTACAAACNGACCATAGACTGATTTACAGATGCTTTCGGTTTCAATAGCCGGTCATTTAAGCGCAAGAGTTACGAAGCGACTTATGCCACTTTCAAAAACTTTATTACAAACATCGGTTTTCGTTTTCTAAATTAAACTTTAGTCCATCATAATCATAAATATGTATAGTAAAAATGTCCACTTTTTATATGTGTTTGTATGCAATTTTCAACAATTTTGCCAAGCCTTATGACAGGGCTTGATTAAGGAATAGCTTGACTCCATTTGCATAATTAGGTATATCACGGTATATCACAAATACACCGCAAATAAAAACTCCACATAAATAACTACCATTTTTATTGCAAGGGCGCTTCCAATTATTTTATATTATGCTCTCTTACTCGCTGTCGATTTAACTTTGTTTAAATTATAAAACCAAACTGTATCAATACCATCTCCAACAACGCTTTTGGGCTGCAAACCCGGCAATGGAAACCGGCATGCAATAATTTTTGCGTTTTCCTTTGATTCTGCAATCAACTTGCTCTCCAAATCTTTCATCTAGACAAAAAAATATATATGTATAATCATAATAATAAAGCTGTTCATAAATCAACCTACCATCTGCTCTACTCCAAATATAACTATATAATCGTATGGCGCCACGCTGTATTTCCACAGATCTCGCCTATAAAAACGCGTTTGGCGTTTTACACCCTGTCGTAGAGCTGACAGTCGTGAATACCAAACCAACCAAGGGTTCAGTTCTACTCCATCGGCAAGTATACCATTTTTAGCAGCAGCTTTAAAAAAAAAGTTATTCGTAAGGTTTGTATTGTGGATTTAAGCTATTCAGATTTGGTATGCATCATAAACTAGTCTTTGTACCCACAACAATTCGTCCATCACCAGATCCTATGTCCAATAGCTTGCTTTGTGAGTTCTTAGGTAAGAAGCTGAGCACATTTCTAACCTGCTCATTTGTGGCTGGAACGTACGGCAGACAAATCCGTCGAAACGCTGGCGCTACGAAAGAAGCACAAATAACACTAAGTCCAACGCCAATCCCACCAGTGGCAGCTATTAGAATTTTCGCTGATGTGGATATTCCTTTCCTTTTTGTGGCACTGTCTTCGATTAAATACTCCATGCTATTTGAATGTTGTATGTTCGACCTGCTGATTCCATGTTGTGATCCCAATAAACACCAAAAAAATATTTATCCAACCTTGGAGAAATTCATAGTTCTCAAGTTGATACCCAACATCATTCTCCAACTCATCTTTGACCGACGCGTAGATACGTAAAAAGTGATAGAGAAACGAATTTTTAATTATCAAGTGAAAAACGAAAGCTATATGAAGAGGAAAATTATCAATAAAAAGTAAATAATCTTCAAAATATCTGCAAATAATCTTGAAAGAAAATAAAAGGCTAAGTGAATCAAGTGGCAAAATTACTGTCGGACAATACATAAGGAGTAATAGAATGAAAAATTAATATTCAAATTCATCTATGTATGGCGTTTCAATCAAAAAGCTATACGGTATTTTACTATTTAAACTTCAGTATTTCAATGATATGTTTGAGACCAATTGGATAATTACATTGGAGTTCAAGTTGAGAACTAGCATTTTCTCAACTTGAGAAACAGTTATTTTTGCATACAAAGAAAAATGCCCTTTTTGTTGAGAACGCTATGATCCTCCACTTGAAGTATTGTTGAGAAACAAAGTTGGAGATTTGAGAAATACCTTCTCAACTTAACCTCAAGTTGAGCTCAAACCTAAATGTTTGTTGGGTATGTAATTGGTACAAGGCGAATTTATACAAGGTGGTCAAGGCGAATTTATACAAGGTGGTGTTACTGGCGAATTTAGATTACAACAACGACAACCATATGTATTTTGTGTGGAAGGTGTTATGTCAAATCTCAATTCTCTCCAAAGTTTACATGTATTTTGTTTTTGCGTTTGATGGTTGTGCTGTCAAATCAGAAAAGCAAAAACAAAATACATGTAAGGCGAAGAGATCAGCTGATTTTACAACACCACCTTGCAGGAACCAAAAATACATGATCACGTAAGAACGCGACGTTGTATTTGTAACTGGTTTTGAGAAAAAAGTTTGCGAAAGCGGGTTCGTCAGCTGAGCGTTTGTTTACATCACAAGCGCCACTATTTTACACTTTTATTCAAGTAAAAAAGAGCTAATTCAACATGACAACACATTTTAAAGCATTTTGTTGCATCATTTTACCTAAATTGTGCGTTTAAAGTGGCGGACAATAATTTTGGCTAATTTTGGTTTTCGTTGTTTTCTTTGCTTTGTTTACTTTTAGCTCGTTTTCCAGTGAAACAAGATGGCGTAGAACCCGCTAAAAAAAATCGACTTTTTTCACTCTCTTGTTCTTACGTGATCTTGTGTCTTTCGTTCATGACCCCCTTGTATAAATTCGCCTTGAAGGTGGTGTTGACGGCGAATTAAATTTTCGCCGCGGTACTACTGAACTTTTTTACTTATATACGGCCAACACCACCTTGTTAAATACGCCTTGGTCAAAATTATAGGTTTGTATAGTAACTTCTCCAGTAAAACATTGCAGCCAGAGCGTAAAAGCAAAATAGAGCGTAAAATTGACAAGAAGAGAAAACTAGCAGAAAAAGTTACTGAACGCAAAACTAGTAAAAACTTGCAAGTGAATAGTTGTTGCACCCTTTTGATATTCTGCTGTAAACATTTTACTATTTATAAATCGGTTTTAAACTCTTTGCTTTTCACACAAGCACTTACACAGTCTAGTACATCATTAATATTTCAATTTTCACTTATTTTACTTTTGTTTGTGCTAAACCAATTCAACAAATGGCGGCTTTTGACATTTATTCTTCTTCTTCTTCTGCTAGCTAATTTCTGCTAGTAGAAATTTCACTAGCAAGAATTTGCAGCTCTCNTACGCGAACGCAAAAACTTGTAAGTTTTGGTTAAACATGAACAATTAACAGCTACGCGAACGAACCTTATACAAACCTAGTGTGTTTGTTGTAAACAAGGCGAATTCATTTTAAAACAAACACATCATTTTGACATTAACAAGGCGAATCTATACAAAGTGGTGTTATCGGATCCGCTGATTTCAAGGCGAATTTGTACCTTTTGTCAAAATCATCAAAACGGAGTCTCCACGCAAATGTCCTGAATTTATACGGTTGCAATTTATAGCAATGACTTTTGTATGTGTGTCTGATTCATATTTGTGACATTCTATAGTTTGATGTTAAATATTTTTGAGGAGCTCAAACTTGGGTGTGCTTAATGAACTGTCTACGCGGATGCGTAGACGTTCACGTTTTTCATAAAGATATAATCTTAAAATATTTATGTTTTAAATTTTTAACTTGCATTTAAAAACTCCATTCAGTGCCATAAATACGATTTGAGATTCCAGCCGAGAAGAACTTTTCTAATCATGAAGCGAAATTCCCCACAGTAAGTGTTGCCATGTCCATTTTTTTGCAGAGTTGCAAAGGGATGTACCATTTATTACTATGTACTGCAATCTAATGGGTCGATTATCGTTAGCAACTGAACTTCAGTTGCGTTGCTAGTTGCCGAAACGTTATTTCAGATGGCAATAGGCAACTGCGCTTGCCACAAAGTGTGTCAGCTTCTTTTGGAAGTCCTCAGTATGCTTTGAAAATTAGCACACTTATAAGAGAAAAACTTTGAAAGCATTTACATTAATGTGCTTTCAAAATGAACACAAAACGATAATAAATAAAAGAAAAACCTTGAAAGCATTAACTTTTGCTTACAGTGCATGCGTTAGCTCCAAAGGATTGGAATTATCCTTCAAATGTCGCTTGATTGAGGCCGCGTTCATACACTTCTCTTCTTCTTAACCCTTTCACTACCGTACTATAAGCAGCGTACTTACACAATTTTATGTATTTTTCGAGTAGATATAATATGCAATAAGACAAAAAATAAATAAAAAATCGATTGTCCTTCAAATGGAAAATATGTCCTGGGATTATTTGTCCCATTGGGCTGTTTACATAACATTAATTGGGACTAAACATCCTATGGGTCATATTTATTTGAAAGTAGTGAAAGATAATTTTGACTTCCTAGTCTGATATTTTATTTATCAAATTTATCAAAGCATTCAAAAATGAATGGCTCTTTACATATTGAACATATATGTATATGCATCGGTCTTCTTTTATGGGCATATGATCCAACATATACTATCTTTTTGTGCTTTTGTGAGCTAGGACCTTTAGTTATAAGTATTCTTTTGTCTTTTGTGAGAGCTCCACTTTGCGCAATGGTCTGCCCAACAAATGGAACCAAGAATTATTTTAAGCCACGTGCGCATTCAATAGTGTTTGATGCCAAATAATTCCTATAAAAAATTACGCGTTAATTAAAAGAACCCAAAAAAGCTGATTTTGAGAAGAAAATACTTATTATATTATTATTATCTTATTCAAATACAGGGCGAACTGCATTTTTGTCGATCTTTTAAATCTCTCTTGGGTTGCAAGATCCCCATGGCAGTGAAAGGGTTAAATAAATAATTGTGATGAACTTAGTTTTATTGCTGTATTTTCTTTAAGACTTTTTATTTTAATAATTTAAGTTTACTAGCACAGCTTGTTTTCAACCACTTGCCGATTGTCGAATTGTGAAATTTCGATTATCGATAACTGCCGCAACTGACGATAGTTGCCATTCGTATTATAAATTTCCTTCCAGTTGCGTTGCCAACTGGCAACCGAACCGTGATTGCGTTTCTATCCGTAATCGACCCTTAAAAAATTTACTACAATTTTTTTTCATTTTTTAGTTCTTTAATTTAGAGATATGTTGCTGATAAACACGCTTTTAAATACTTATTCTCAAAACCAATCACAAACACATAGTTGTCTTGTAGCGTGATATTAAGGGCATTCATCAAACCTTATAAATGCATTGTATTGTAAACCGTATAAACTTATAATTGTGTAAACCTTATAAATGAACTGTCAAAATTTGTATGGAAACTCGTTTACACATTTCTGATAAATTTATCCAGCGATTTCACTGAATAAACTTGATAAACTGAAGACAATGCAACTCTGTCGCAACTCTAGCTATGTTTCTTAGGCAATAATCGGGTATGCGGATACAAANCAGATTATCGGTTTAGATGAATACCACTAATGCATTTCTAAGGTTTGATGAATACCCTGAACAACCGGCCTTAGAAGTGCTAAAAATTAAAATTCTTACTGAAAAGAGCAGCACTGGTCAATTTTGTTTTGTTTCAACTGCAATACAACCCCAGTACATTTGCTGTCACGCAAAATGCAACCGTGTTTGACGCCGCCATTTATATTTTCGTTTCGGGATTTCGTGTCAAATTTTTGATTGCAAGTAAACGCGATTTTATATAAAAAAAATTGTTGCAGGAGGTTTACAAAGCGAGTTCATAGTGTTAGGTGCAACAAATCCGTAGGTTGTACTTTTAATAAAGTGAAAAAAGCCGAAACAACTGAAAATATGGCGAATGTGCGGGACAGCGACACTTCATTGTGGCTGCATAACAAACTCGGCACCTCGAACGACTCGTGGATAAGTGGGTCGATATGCTCGCAACTTAATAAGGAAGTGCTGCGAAACATAAAGGAATGTTTTCCTGATCTACAGACTCAAGTGAAGCTAAAATTATTACTGAGCTTTTTCCATATACCACGACGATTGGTAGAAGAGGTGCGTTACATTTGCTAATCTGTGAAGTATGGCTGCAAGCCAATTAGCGCTTTCGTTATTTGGAAGGGACGGTGTAGAGTGTGAATTATGAAAACTTGAGATAGATCACCCAACAATGTGCACACACATGTAAAATATCGTATGCGCGGACAAGCATTGACGAGTGCTAGATGTTTAGCATTTTGCGATTGTGTGCATGCACGCATTGGTGACATCGCTCCATGCGCGTAAATCATAACTGCCTCGTCATAATTTTTTGCCTTAAAGATATTTTTTTATTAGTTTCAAATGAAATGCCGATCATCGATTTTGTTAATGTCACTAGACTTATTAAATATACTTTACTTTATATACTATTATGCTTAATATATTTCCCGCCACTTATAAATATAGAAAGTGCCGCGGCAAGAGTGCCTTCTATATGAAGATACTATCTCAAGCAAGTGCATGCGTGAATTAGCTATTAGGTTCACTTAAGTTATTTACTACGGTTTTTCAACAAAGGCAATCTTCAATTATTTTATTGTACATAGAAATAAAAAATTTTACATCTAAATGTTTTAGTGGAAAACTGAATTGGAGGAAGTTATTGAAGTAGCAGGCTTGGATTCGGAGCTGTGGGTATCCATGTTAGCGGAGACCATGAAAACATTTCCAGCAACTAGTTCTCTAAATACAGAAATTTCAGAATACGAAGATACGCGACCTATCTTCACCGATATGGTAAATGACTTACGTAAATTGGTTAGTAAGCATAGTGATATCGGCATGCTTCCGCTGGAGTGTTTGTATCTAAACAAAAATGCTCTTGTTTCAGTGGTAAGCTCAAGATTTTTTATACATTTTTTATTGCTCACTAATTCAAATTATTTAATATTTAAATAGGTCGGCCAACAACAAAATCCAGTAAAGCATTTCACTATAAAGCGTAAACCCAAGAGTGCAAATTTGCGCACTGAACTGCTTCATAAATCTGCTGACGCCCAGTCCTCCTTAAAAAAGTCTTCTGCACCGACTATACCGCTGCGTTCACGTGGTATGCCGCGAAAAATGACGGACACAACACCTCTCAAAGGAATTCCTTCCCGCGTGCCTTCATTGGGCTTTCGTTCGCCTAATGTATCTGGAACACCGCAACGGCCGAACTTAAGTCGCACACCAGCTGGTCGGAAGGACGGCGGCATAAAATTAATCGAATTTACAGAGCAGCCATTAGGCTATGCAGCGGCAAAGAAACGCAAACGTGAACAACAGTTAGAGGAGCAACAAAAGAAACAGGAGCAAAAACTTATAGCATCTGCAGCTGCTGCAGAAAACGCTTCTCCAACTGCCATTTCGCCAATACAAGGTAGTGGTGTTAGCACAACAGCAGGTAATGCTGCTACACCAACTACACCCACATCGTCTGGTGCCGCTATAAATAGTTCTTTTGAAATCAAGACCGAAACAGTCCTGCACCTAAATCAAAGCGGAACTAGCGACGATATGTTAACAGATAATAAAGACAATGTATTAGCCACAAAGATTGAACCTCCGACACCAGAATATGCTCAATCTTTAAGTTACACGCAACCCACTTCACCAAAAGGTTCGGATAGTAAATCACAGATGAAGTCATTGGATATGCAATCCCCAATAGTGGCTAGTACTGTATTAACACCTACAACTTCGGTCACAGTTTCTACTCCAACAAAAATGAGTAGTATGTCCACGCAGACACAAACACGTATGCCTACACAGACACAAAGTAGTAATACCAGCAATAATTTAAATCACAGCCACAAGCGCATCAAACAGGAGATTGAGATAAAGAGTGAAGAGATTTTAATGCCGCCAAATATTAAAGTGGAAAAAATTGAACCGCAGACTCAGCCGCCTTTGCTCACACAACAGTTGCCGCAGACCCCGTCACGCTTGCAGCAGCGAATAATTATACAGCAACAAAAGCAGCCGCAACAACAGTCCCCACAAACACAACCGACATTGCAGCAACAAACAACCCAACATGTTCTAATAAGATCTGCACCCCAACAACAAAAGCAAACTCTTAGTGGTTTGACTTTGGGCGCAGGCGGCGCCACAGTAACCAGACAAAAGATAAACACAACTACCACATCGCCTACTAATTCCAATACAATGATAAAAATGGAGAAACTTGATATAAATCCGATGGTGTCAAAGAGTCCTGTAACGAATACTATGCCCACTAATATTTACACTCAGCAACAGTTGCGTCAGACGAACAATCCATTGGCAAATTTGCCCAATAATATTTCTGTGAAAATAACATCATCGAAATCAGCGAAGGTTCAGTCATTACCTCAACAAAACTCGCAGCAACAACAGCAACAACCAATAATAATTAATAGTTCAACACCCGTGATAATTTCCTCATCTGCAGCACCCGTTTCAAGACCGGTAAGTTTTTATTTGTTTGAAAAAAGAAAAAAAAATTACTTATTGTGTTAATTTTTATAGAAACAACTTGTGCCATCTGGTACGTCGACAACAACAACGGCACAATCAATAAAGTCGATGCCATTGAGCCAGCTGAAGACTGCTGCTAACAGTGGGCCCGTTATCATTTCTCAGACAATCATACAACCAGCGAAGCGTTCAGCTACTTCTGCCACAAGCCTTCAGACTCACCAACAACAGCAGCAACAATTACTGACTCATCATCAACCGCAACAACAACAGCAACAACAACAACAACCTCAACACCAGCAAAGTATGCACCAGTCGGTTAGTACATCTACTACAGGAACTCAATACATCTTGACGACGTCTGGGCCTCAGCAACAACAACAGCATCAGCACGCACAACAGCTTCAAACAGCTGCAATGCCAACTTTGGCGTCGTTCTCTCATGCACGTCCTACCCAACAGAGCACCACAACGGTGTATCAAACAGCTGCTTCAGCTAATACGCAAACTCCAACGAAGATTATATTAAAAACTTCCCCATCGGGCGTAATGATGACACCGTTACGACAACAACAAGCACCGACCACTGCTGGCGGTAATCCACCACCGCTAATAGCGACGTCAACAACACAACAACAGCAACCTGCTTTACTAAATATTCAAAATGTACAGCTGCCAAATCGACCAGTCACTATACAACCAGCATCTCAGGCAGCACAACAACAGCACCTTCAGGCGCAATTGCAGCAACAACAGCCGCAACATACGATCGTATCTAACACCAGCGCAACGCAGCAGCCTAAGCTTACCCAAGTGCTTGTGCAATCAGCGAACCCTACTGGCGTTGGTGGCTCCGTTGGAAATGTAGGCGTCGCAAACGCGAATACAAATATGAAGAATAAGACAATCATACTGACACAGAAGGGTGTTATATTGCGTAATATCGGCGGCGATATGTACCAGCAGATACCGATAAGCAACATGAGCGGATTGCAGGGTCTGAGCTCAGGCACTGGTGCCACGCTGATGACAACTGCGGCTGGTCCGCCCAGTTTGGTGAAGTCAACAAGCTCAGGCGTTCAGCCTGGTCAAACAATACAGCTGCAGCAGCAAAGTGGAACACAAGCGAAACCACAGCAACACCTACCAACGCTAATACCCACAAATACGTTAACATCTCAACATATGATTGTTCAACAGCCGACTCAAACGAACCTCATTAGTGCTGTGAGTGTTTTAAATGTCTCTCAAAAGATTCGTACAAAGCAAATACATACATACCGTTCTAATATTTTCAGCCTTCTCAACAAACCATTATTCGGCCGGTTATTTCTAACGTACAAGGCAACAGCTTGACAACATTGCCACAAGGTCTAACGCTGATTCAGCGTCCTGGCCAACAACCGCAGCTGGTGCAGGTGCAGACGCCCAGTGGTTCAACAGCAGTTGGCCACCAGCTTCCAACTCAAATACAACGTACTATAATAACACAGCCAGCCCAGCAACAACAAATGCGATCACAACAAATCGTATTGCAGCACAAGTCGCAACCTCAGCAACGTATAATCACAACTACGCAAACGGGGACTGGTCAGCCACAGCATATACAGATTCAACAGGGTACACCAACGGGAGGTATTTCGCGTACCACACACATCGTTCAGGTGTCACAACAGGCTCACCAGCAGCAGCAACAACAGCCGCAGTCTCAGCAAGCACCACAGCGTAAAGGACTTTCTTTATCGGTAAAGCCAAAATTATGCACATAGGATTTTTAGTTTTTAGAATAAATACTAATCCATGCTAATTACTTGCTCGCAGAACGAACATGTCCATAAGGCGCATGAAATGTTCCGTAAAGCGAACCGAGTTTCTCGTCCGGACAAGGCGCTCATATTGGGATTCATGGCAGGAATGCGTGAAAATCCCCGTCCTAACTCTGAGAATGTAATTGTTATAAAATTGGGCGAAAGCGAGGTAAGATAATGGAGTTTTTTACTCATTGTACCCAATATGCCAATATGATCTTTTTTTTTTGTCTTTAGGAGAAAGTGCAACAGGAAGATGGCAGCACAGCGCTTTGTTTGGTGGAGTCACATATCCGGCTGGATTACAACACAGGCGAGTGGAAGACATTCCAAAACTATCGGCGTCTTGATCAAAGTGTACAAGGACAAGGAGTAGATGGAACTGCTAACAGTGGGACCGGAGGCGCAATGCAAACACAAAACTCCGTTGTTATTTAAGGGAAGGGTGTTTAGCTATTAGTTCAGCTCAGTCGCTCTGGACGTTGACGCCAATGTTTGCGCAATTGCTGATGTAATGGCTGAAAATTTCACGGCTGGCGATAACTGCGCGCACGTCTGACGAATAGCGAGCGTTGTGGGAGATAGTTTTAAAGCTAACGAGAAGAAGAAATTAAACATTATATCTAGGTGCAATTCGTGTGCAACTGCTGAGATGCAGCATACGCGACAAATAATCTTTTGGTAGTGCAGCATTTATACACGCATAGTAAGAGCCGAATCGCTTGATATGTACCGCGCTTATCCCGGAGTGAATGACTGTATGTCGTTCCTTACGATTTGGAATCGAAATTAAATACTTGAGCTAGTTTTGTATTCATGTAATGTATCTTAAACCGGTACTCACAATTTTTCCATAAACAATGATAAAATTAAAATGGGCATAAACAGACTACCATAAACACGTTTTCAGTTAGAAAATATTAGCAAAAATCAGCAAAAAATGCCTACCTTAAAATCTAAATACAAAACAAGGGACCCTAATAATGGTACCGAGTGTAATTGTAGCCAGCGGGTAGCAGAAAAATAAGCTGTGCTTTTTAACCGACTTTAAAAAAGGAGGAGGTTATCAATTCGTCGGAATATTTTACTTTGCAATTCTTCAATTTATATAAATATACTACCTAATTAATGACCCTACCCTTATATATATACAATTAGCTGTACAAAAGGAAGTAGTTTAAATGTTTAATACTTGCATAACATAATATTAAGTTATATCTATCAATATATACACACATAAGAATCTAAATGCATATGTACGTACGTATGGATATTATGAAAACGCCAATATGCGCATATACTTTAAACTACATAAACTTGCTGCTGCATAAGTAAGTATGAATTTAGCTATAAAAGGAATAAAATATATTAGCGATTAAAAAATACATTAATTTGAAGAAAATTGCTTAGGCAGTGGGCATAAATATCGATAATAAATCTGTATTAGGTGAAAATTTGAATTATATATCTATGTACATGCATATGTATGTAACATACCTATGTAGTTACAGAGATACTACATGAATTCGAAAATGAAATTAAAATATACATACATAAATAAATATAGAATACATACGTACATTACTATAATGGCTTAATGTTAAAATATTTAAAAATAATGATACTGCTAATCGTTTGTTTTTATTTCAATCAAGGTTAAGGCGCGTAATCGCGCATTGTCATGAAATTTCAATAGAAAGTTGAGCAATTCAATTGCGTCAGGTGCATCAGGTGCATCAGGCGTAGTTGGCTTGGATTTTTACATGCTGTGCTGAGGTGATGATTTGTCGTTTGTAGACCGTAATACTTTACAAGCAAACAAAAAAGTTCGCTGTGCACCCCTGAGTCTTAAAGAATTTGTACAAGACCATTTCAAAACCAAATCCTTGCATTCGGCACTAAACACATTTTTTAAAAGTCCTACTGGATTAATCGAAAAACTTAGCAAAAGTTTAATGATTTTTAGTGAGCTTCAATTTACTGACATTCAGGTAGTACGTAAGGGTGATAAAAACTGAGATCTGGTGGGTAAGTACTGGAACGGGGTACTTGAGGTCAATTATTATTGGAACAAAAAAAAAAAATGCCTCGAGACAAAAAAGTCGACACATCATAGATACCATGATACAATAATTTTTAGAAGGTAGTTTCATGATACAAAAAAGAAGGTAGTTTCAATAAACAACTTTTTGATTAAAAAGCAGATTTTTGACAATTGCTCAATTGTGAAAAATTCGAAGCGGCATTACCCAATTGTAAGGTTTGTGGGGTGGGACATTTTATATCCTAAATTTGGGATTATAAAGAAAATAGTTGTATTAATATATACCTTTTAAAAATAATCAATATCTTATCTTGAAAACGTTTAAATTTTACATTAAATTCGATAACAACTTGCCAAATCATTATTTTAATATTAATACAATTTTAGTGAACATATTTTCAAATTATGTTAGTGTCCTCATGTTATCTCATTATTTCACAATGTAGTTTTCTATATCGGATACGTGATTCTGATGTAATTCTGAAATTACACATTTACACAAATTACTGAAATTACACATTTCGATTTTATCTTTGTCCATTTAACAGCAATGTAATGTACTTTGGTACCCATGGGCCGTAAAATTTTTCTAGCAACACATATTGTTTTCACATAAAATTTTGACACACCCAAAATTGAAGGATAAAATAAATAGATAAAAACAAATTTTCAATAAAACTGATTTGTGTAGTCCAGGGGCGTCTTTAGTAAATGTTTTGGAGGCTGTTTTAATATATCCTATCTTATTATATATCTCTTAGCTTTTCTACATTCTGAGAAGTTGAGAGAATGAAGTCGAATATTCTTTTTGGTCAACTACGATGTTTGATTTCATTTTTCGCTTGAGGAGTCACAATGCCGATTTTTTTGAAATTTCGGACAAAAGTTTTCCAAGAATGGTTATAGGCTAAAACAAAACCGATATCTAAAGGGCGTGTGAAACCTCCCTTCAAATCGAATTTTTCATAGTGTATATCTCTGGAAGTATTTGTGGTAGAGTCCTGGAACTTTGTATGGATATATGTATATGAAGTCAATCTCAAGCTCATGGAAAAATATGGGTTTATTGGAAAATGCGGCGTGCCACCGTAGAACTAGGAATAGAGGTAAATGAAATCAATCCCAAACCTATGAAAAATTGGAGTATATGAAAACAATCTCGTAGCAGTTGAAAAGAGCTAGCGGTATAAGCCAAATAAACTAAAATTCTGGTGACGCATAGATACCTCTGGACGCATTTACCTAGAATACTGAGATAAGGTATTTTTCCAACGAAAATATGTATAGAAAAACGGGAGCCACACCTTCTGGAAAGTAACATGATCACAGGGTGTATCCCGAAAACCATTTTAGCTAAACCTTCAGGGATTACATTCTTGCCAAGACCCACAGGCATAAGACGAAATTGCGTCGCAAGTTTTATGATCGGCTTGGGTAAGGTTTAACCACTTAACCCCCCTTTGTTTTCGTCGCTACTGAATTCTATAAACTGTCAGCTTTCACACAATTTAAAATGTACTTGTGTATTTAAAAATGTCATGAAAATTGTGTTGCTAGCTTCATGTTGCAAAAATGTATCAACGAAATGTTGTGGAATTTAACACTTATTTCTTGTTTATTTCTTATTATGCTATGCTTAAGAACAAAATATTTTTAAATCGACAAAACATTAATAAGAAAATTTTGAAGGATTTTAGATATTGGGTATGGTAGCACGAAATGTCACAATCTGCTTAATTGTCAGGTTGTTAATATGGCGACGAAAAAGTGACAATGGAACTACCTTGTTTTTGGTATCATGGTTTTTTGTATCATGGTTTTGTCTGAGAATGAACTATATTTTAATTGAAAATTCTTAAAAATAAATAAATAAACATAAATGGCAAACAGTATCACTTGGAGATGGCGTGCTATTCATGCGATCGATACTCTTAAAGATCCGATTGAAAATGCCGAAGGTATGTATGGCGAAATTCGCAGAAAGGCGACACCTACCTTTGACAAAAGAAAACGTTTTTTTCGAAATTGCAATGTTGAAATACTATCGGTTCGAAGGTGTACGGCAAACGAAAAAAATAGTGCGGCTCGGCCATATTGCGGAACTTCTCTTGATTCATTTCTTCTCCCGCCAATGACAAAACTCATCCCATGGCTATTGCTTTAACTACTGCGTTGAATTCTTCCTTGCATTGGGACCTCACAGCATCAGGGAAGAGTTAAGAGCAGACGAGCGTCGGCTAAGAAGACCATATTGGGAAAACACGCCTGGTGTAAGGCAGACGGAAGAACCTCTTTATTTATTTATTTAATCAAATGGAATACAAATTCTTACTGCCACTAACAAAACCGTGCTGATAATGGAAAATTCAACTTTTCAATGCGAAATTAAGCTTCTGTTTGACAACTGATTCCAAAACTTTTGGAACAGTGCCCAGTTTGGAAATAGGCCTGTAATTCGAAATATCACTCTTGTTCCCACTTTTGTAAATTGGTGTAATGAAAGAATTTTTCTAGTCGTCAATAAAATATCCCCACGAAAGAGATTTATTGAACAGTATTGTTAATGGCTGAATGAGCGATGGGCAACGTTTGAGCATAGCACCTGAGATGCCATCAAAATCCAATTTAAAGGAGTGCTTTATGGAACAAATGGCTACTTCTACGTCACTTTCAGAAACATCAGTGCGCCTTAATTAAGAGCAGAATCTGAAAGATTGTAACGTTAAGGTACCTTTTCAGAATCCGAGACATAATTAGAGGAGAAAAATTCTGCAGGTGTGTTCGTTCGCCTGCTTGTCATTCAAAAAGACTGAGGATGGCACACTCGACTTAGCGTTCTTGGATTGTACAAAACTCAATAATGCTTTAGGGTTGTTTTTAATGACTGCTTCACCTTAAGTAATAAACTTATTATAGAGAATCTTGTCCAAGGAATTAAATATCCTAAGGCAGTACTGATATCTAATCAGGACAGATTGGGACCAAGTTGCCCTAAATCTTTTAAAAAGGCTATTTTTGCGATTTTTGAGTCGCTTTGCTATCAGCACTCCCCCGCCTCTGGACAGGCCCGACCAGATTTCGTCACGGCCCTTTCGATAAACATTATATAACTCGGGATCGAAGAAGTCTGAGTCAAAGAGATGAGGTGTTAACGAGCTTTCCACGATGACGAATATGTCAAAATCCAAATGCGCGCTCAATCTGCGGACTACATCATGCGTAGTATGTATAACTGGGCTATCAGTTGTCATTCTAGAAACGTTTTGAAAATAATTTTGATTTTACTAGGTGCAACCACACTAGCAGTGCTATCGACTGGCTTTGTATTGCCCGTTAATTCACTAAGACGGCCTCAACAGATTATCGAAATTGTAGGCGCAGACCCTAAGCTTAAGACTAACATGAGTTAGTGATTCCAGCTTCGACTCTTTTTTAACAGCTTGTAGCAAGAAATGCGCCGATTATCAATGCCGGTGTGGTTCATCACGTACTCAATAATGTTATCACAAGAAACTGATGGCAAGAAAGATGACAAATGCAACCACTTAAAAAAGGGTTGTAAGCCTAGATCATTGCAGTCATTGCTTACGACTCTACTCTCCACTGTTACCCAAGGAGTAGGAGTAGGAGAAGGAGAAACAGGCACGCCCGCGCCCGTAGCATTAACCATATCAGCAGCTTCAGGCTCTGCATTAACAACGTCAGTTTGATCACAATTCCAGGGGCGAATCATAACGCAATAACGCCGGCAGATGACTGCCAGTAGCATCGCTAACAACAACTGCGCCGATTGTTGACTTCGAGTTGGAGGCAAACATTTTATTATTTAGCAGCCAGTGAGGATCGTATCGAACAGTCGTAGACACATCACTCACTTCATCTGCTAACACTTGCAAGCACTTCGCAATGTAATTGTCCTTTAATTGCATTTCTATTGGAAGCTATAACCCCAAAAGGATCTAGTAAACTATTAACCCTTCAAAAGACCTACCTGAGATTTATACGAGGGGTGCTAAGGGATAACTGCAGACGGCAGGCCCATATGCATACCCTGGCGTTCAGTGCAGGTGACTTATGCCGGTATTGCGATATGAGACCAGAAACCCCACGGCATCTTCTCTTTGAGTGAATTTCAACCCTCGAAAATTTGAATTCAAAGCGAATTTGATTAAAATACACTCGGAAGTGAATTGCAGAACCCGCCTGAATATCTAATGCCAAATGACCCCACGCAGCGGACACCACAATACGCAATTCGGTATGGTTACCTCTCGTAAGATCATAGGATCTGACCACGCTATACTTTTCCTTGTGAAGTTTCCTAAAGCCAGGGGTCTAAAATCGAACATAACCCAGGCTCAAATTCAGCCGAATCTGTGCGGCGGAGTGATTGAAAACTGGGCTAGAATCGTCACATATTTAGGATATCGTACTTCCTGGATTACGACATACGTGAATGTACTCTTTATCCCATTCAGCTTATACGACTGACTTATCAGGTAATTTTCTTTCGTATGGTTTCCGATCCGTGAACGGATTCGA